TCATTTTAATTATTTTTTTGATACTTTACATCTTTTGATAGTAATTTTATATTTCATTCAAATTTATACAATTTTTTATATACTTCATATACTTAGGACTTAATTTTATTTTATTAAGCTCTTTTGTTATTGATTTTCAAAATATGTAGCATATACATCAAGTTAATTTCTTTTATATGAATATTTTTTTATTAATTTTATTTTTATATTAATCTTCAAGTTAATTTCTTTGTTTTAGATATTAAGTTAATTTTCTTTTACGATATTGATTTTTGTTTTGTTAATTTAACTCTTTTAACATTAAATTTCTATTTAAATTTGAAGGATACTATATTTTAGTTTTTCTAACATAATTTTCTTTGCTATTTGTTATTTACGTTTTTTATTATGATTTTTCCATCTATAACACAAAATTAATGTTTTGTTTTTTTGTAAATTAATTTAGTAGTTAGAAATTTTATTAACCTATATTATAAGTTTTAGCTTTTACTATACTGATTTTTTTGTTAGGTTAACTCTTTTGACATTAAATTTCTATTTAATTTTGAAGGATACTATTTTTTTTATTTTTTTTAACATTAATTTCTTTTCTATTTGTTAAAATTAAGTTACTTTAATTTTTCCATATATAAACGAAATTAATGTTTAAAAAAAATAGAAATTAATATTGTAATGTTTTAATCGAATTTAACATATTTATGTTTAATAAAGTAACGCTGATGTGGACCAATCATATTGAGTTTTTTCATCTTAATCATACTTAACATTTTTGTGATTAATGAATATGCTAATGTGGACCAATAAGATTGAGTTTCTTCGCGTCCTCAGTGCATTATGCTTTCAACTTTTATATATTACTAGGTTTTTAACTCGCGCGGTTAATATCTTTTAAATTATCAAAACTATAATATATTTATAGAAATATTCTTTTATATCAAAAAATTAAAACATAATATGTAATTTTTTCTATTTTTTGTTTATAAAGTTATAAATCTTATTAAGTAAAATCATAGTAATGACACCTTACGAATTATCCAACTTCAACGTGCATACGTTTAATTTAGAAAATAATTTTCTTACTAAAGTTTTGGTATTTTGTTTTGTGTCCTTATGATTTCTATAGTTCTTTTTTTAAAAAAAAAGTTTCTATGTTTAAATATTTAGTTTTTTACTAAATATCTCGTTGATATTGTGTACCTATACATATATAATATATGATATATGTTGATTCAGATTTACTTTTGTTAGTAAGCTACACTAACCGTGTAAAGCTATTTTTTGCTTTTCTACCAGATCTTCAACGAATTTTAGGTAATGTATCTATTTAGTTTATAATATCTATTTTATTTGCATTCAACTATTTGTTAATTTTTGTTTTTAAACATGTGAGATGGTGTGGAGACTTCACATTATTACTGTTTTTTTTTAATCTTTTGTGTGTTCTACTCATGTTTTGATTTGAATAATTTACCTAGATATATTCCAGTTTGAACTTGATTCATAGCTTTGTCATATTTTATTATTTAAATAAAATTGTAGAAAATGTTGTTCATGTGTTGTTCATGTTGGCTAAGTTATAAGCAGTAAATATGAATAAAAATCAAACTTTATTACTTGTTAAATTTTAAATGTAAAGTTACTTGTGTAGTATTTTCCTTTGTTAGTTTTTAAACCAGACGCATTCTAGGTATTAGTCTTTGTAAATTTAAATAATATGTTTGATTTAGAAACTTGTATAACATACGATAACTTTATATGGTTATTCATACTCAACACCAATATTTTAGAAATCATGAATTTTCTGGAACTATATTTCAAACTAATTTTCTTCTTAGATCTTGTTTTTTGTTATTTAAATATCTTCGATTGTAATTTTATATTTTATTTTAATTATCTAATTTTTTGCATGTTTGATATACTTAAAACATATATATATATATATAGTTAATCTCTTTTGTTATTGATTTTTTATATAAGTACCATATATATCAATTTAATATCTTTTAGATAAAAACAAATTTTCTTTGTTAAATTTACTTTTTAAATTAATTAAAATGTTATTTTGACATGCTATAACTGGTTATTCGAAATTTCATGTGAACTTCTCTTAAAAGCTTATACCATCATTTGCTTTTTTTAGTTAATTTATTTTGTTTTGTTAGTTAGCCTAAATATCAAACTAATTTTATTTTATACGACTTTTCCTTTGATAATTTACCTTTTTTAATATTGATTTCAATTTTATTTTAACACACAATTGTTTTGAAAATATTGATAATTTGAAGACAGAATTTTATTTTTTACATTTTGTTAGTTAAATATTTTTATATAGATTTCTTAAGTAGTTAGTCAGATATCAAGTCAATATATTTTTAGATGTTTTTAAAAAATACATTTTGTAAAACTTAATTTTCGTTTTAGTTTTTTAGTTAATTAATTTCTTAAATAATTAGCTTAAATATTTATATTATTTTTATTAGTTAAGTTTTTCAGTATTACTTGATTTTTTTTATTCTCTTACTTATTCTGTTTATATTGATTTTGTTAAATAAATAACATAGACATCAAATTAATACATTTTTTGTTTGTTAGTTTAACTCTCTCAATACGGTCTTTCATTTTAATTGTATTGACATATTGCAAGAAATAATTTATGGTTTGTTTTTTGTTAGTTAAACCTTTTTTGTATATTGTTTTCTTCAGTAATTAGCATAAAGTATTATTTTTGATTAGATAAGCTTTTGTGTTAATTTTCTAAATAATTACGCTAAATATCAAGTTTCAGTTGATTTTTTCTTTTGTTAATTTAACATAAATGTTTTTTTGATAGTACTGTATTTTTAAATAACAATTTTATATGTCTATATTAAATTTAATCTTAATATATTTTCTAAATAAATTACTCATTTAAAATATATATGCTAAATTTTTTTTTTAATTTAACTTTTTTGTTATTGATTTACATATTTGTTTTGGTTAGTGTATTTTTTGTGATAATGAGTTTCTATTTTATTTTGACAAAGGTTATAGATTTGGATTTTTGACATAATTTTATTTTATCTGTTTTGTTAGTCAAAAAAGTTTTATTTTAATTTTCCATTCTACTATGATAGTTTTCTATTTTGCATGTTTTAATTTATTAAATTTATTAATTATTAATAATATTTAATAATTTGTATGTTTAATGAAAAACGCTGATATAGATCAGTTAGATTGAGTATATATGTCCTATATGGACGCTCTTATTGCCCTAAGACATTAACCACAACTAATCTATTTTAAGCTGGAAGTTCATATTTTAGTTATTTGTCGTGATTAAAATTTTAAAATAATTTAATTATAGTTTTAAATACAGTTTTTAATTATTTTGTTTAATATATATGATTTTCTATCATATTATATTTATCTGTTAATTTACTGTTTATTGTTAATAAAAATAAGATCTATTTTCTAAAATCTATTTTATTAATAACTAACTCAAAATATAGAAAATTACCTAATAACAACAAAATGAAATTAATTAAAATTTAAAAAAAAATTCTTATAACAATTAAAAACGAATTAATTAATTTTAATACATAATATATAATTAACTAAAAATAATGATGATGTGTACCAATAAAATTGAATCTTTAAATCCTATGTGAACACTCTTAGAGGTATTTAGTATCAACTTTTATTAGTAATAGATATAACTAGGTATATAATTCGCGCTACGCGCGAGTCTGTATTAATATTTTGGTTTAATTTATTTTTGCTACTATCTTTAAAATTATTAAAAATATAATATATTTATAGAAATTTCCATTTATATAAGAGAAATTAATATATAATGTGTAATTTATCCTATTTTTATTTATAAATTTTTAAAAAACTATTAAGTAAAATAATAACAATGGCATCTATTGAATTATCCAACTTTGACGTACATATACATTTGATTTAGAGAAATATAATATTGCTAAGATTTTAGTATTATTTTCTGTTTTCTATAGAATTTTTATAGTTCTTTTTTCTTGAAGGTTTATGTGTTCAAATATTTAGTTATTTTTATTGAAAGTCTTATTGATGTTGTGTACCACTGCATATATAATCCATGATTCATGTTAATTCGCATTTAATTTTGTTAGGAAGCTGTAATGATCATGTAAAACTATTTTTTTCCTTCTCCATCATGTCTTCCAAGAGTTTTATGTTATATTTTTATTCAGTTTTCATTATTTTAATTATTAAATCGAGTTGTTATAGATTTTTTAAAAATAGATTGGTTTCTTTTTTTAAAACATGTATTGTTAATTGTTAATTTTTTCATTTATTTTTAAAAATTTTAAACCATATTTATATTTTCTGATTTGATAAATATGTTGATTTGGATAAATCAGATTGAATTTACTTTTTTTGTTAAACATAATTTGTTAAATTAATTTTTAATATTTTAATTATACTTAATAATTTTTGGTTTGATTAAAAAGTTGATATGGGCCAATTAAATCAAGTTTTTCTATCTTAATCATACTTAACATTTTTTTATTTAATGAATATGCTGATGTGGGCCAATCAGATCGAGTTTTTTAAGCTCATGTAGATGCCTTCAATGCATTATGTCTTTAATTTTTATATATTATATGATGATTTATAAAAAAAATTATACTTTTTATTATAACATATTTTTCAGCATTTATTATATTAACATATTTTTTTAAAGATCAATTTGAACAGAAATATACATATATTTTTTTTAAGTTTCGTCCCACACAAAAAAAAAAACAGTACTAAAATGCAGGTTTGTATCTATATTATTATTTGAGAAGTAAGAAATGCACCACAACTTCTTTCAGAGGGATTAGCGCCTTCTGTCCTTAGTGGATATACTCTGAGGTAAATTAAATCGATCGGTTTGGTTCGGTTCTTACTGATAGATCGATCGGTATAGTAATCTAATCTTTAAACAGTTTTTCATATTTGTTGAACTTTTTTGAATTAGCATCCAATGGATCATTTGAAAAACTTGGCGACCTCTCGAAATTATATTACAAAAAGAAAACTCTAAATTTTTCATACATTATGTTTTGTTTCTTGCGTTCTGGTTTCCTGTTCTTTGTGTTTCCTTGTTTCAAAGGTAACTTAATAGAAAAAAGGATCAATTTTTCTGACGGCATGATTCACTATATTGGTAAGAATCGAAATCCTCTGCTTCTCTTTTTGATATAGATGATGGTGAACACGACACATCTCTCTATTGACCTGTCTGGAATAAAATGGTACTTTTTTTTGTTTGGAGTTTCCCGTTTATATTATTATAAGGCGGGTGATTTCAGCTCTTCCATCGGAGAACATGAACAATGTTTCCGGCGATCGCATTGACGACGGCCTTTCCACCGCCGTCGCAGTCCCTGCCTCTACAACCGTACAAAGTCGCCTCCCACTGATCGTCCCGTCCGCGTCTACGCCGATGGGATCTACGATCTTTTCCACTTTGGTCACGCTCGATCTCTCGAACAGGGTAAGAAACCGTTAGTACTTCTTATCTCCCGGATATATATTTCCCTAATTAGCATCCCTGATTCGATTTTTTTTCCCCTCCTTGACGCTTGCTCAAAATATTCGTTGTGTCATTGTTACTTATCTGTGATCTATTGAATCGGGTTCCTTGAAAGCTGTGCAGATTTTGTTGTTTTCGTCGAGAGAAATCTTCGTTGTTTAGATTATTTGATCTGTGTTGATTGCTACTACTGCCAAAATTTGTGTGTTTGCAAAGCATTGTGGTGCGTGATTTTTAGTGGGTCTTTTTGTAAATGTTTCGTTTGTTTAGAATTTTGCAATAGCTGATGTTTCTGGATTCTCCTGCTTCAGTTTTGATTTTGTATTTTGTGGAGGTAAAAGAACTCAGATTGCGTGTGAGCCTGAAACGCAAGATCCTCTCCATTTTTTTTCTTTCTTTTCTGTGTATAATACTCTGTTTTGGCTTTCTTGGCAGGGAAAGAGTTTTTGTGTGGTTCTCTCGGATTCTCTGTCTTTATTCCGTAATCGATTAGATAATCACTCATTTGAGTCATTCGCTCGAAATACACATCTCTTATCAGCTCATCTTCACCAAGAACAAAGAAACATAGCCTAAGAGAAAAAAAAATATCGGTATGGTTAATTAATACTCAGTGATATTGTATTCTTATTTTTTATTCAAGTCCAATTCCAATAGGATATTGTTTTGCAGACATCAAGATGGTAACGCCAACTACAAGAATGGTTGATCTCCGGTCCGACACGGTAACTAAGCCAACTGAGTCAATGCGTTCAGCGATGGCAAACGCGAAAGGACGACGTTTTGGGGAGCGATCCAACTGCCGTGCGTTTGGAGAGAGAGGTGGCGGAGATCGCCGGAAAAGATGCGGCGATGTTTGTTCCCTCGGGAACAATGTGAAGTGATTCTTTGAGATGACTCTCACATTCACATATACGAAAACGGCGGCATTTCAGGCCTCGGTGGAGTACATCCTAGGACGGTGAAGAACGAAGAAGACGGGACTATGGAGTTTGGATCTCTTGAAGCTGCGGTGAGGAGTCCCAAAGGAGATCTTCATTATCCGCTTACTAAGCTTATATGTCTTGAGAACACTCAAGCAAAGTAAGTCTTTGTTTCCTACTCATTAATACCATGCATGTTTGGTGTAGAGGTTTAGTTTAGGTTTCATTTTAGGAGACTTTGTTATAAAAAGAAAAAGAAATTATTGTGATGTGTGTAACTCAAAACGATAGTAATTAAACCCATTAGAGAAAACGAATTAATTTTTGTTGATGCAGTTGTGGAGGTAGATGCTTGCCTATAGAGTATATTGACAAAGTTGGAGAATTGGCCAAGAAACATGGCTTGAAGCTTCACATCGACGGAGCTCGGATCTTGAACGCTTCTATTGTTCGTATCCAAACATTTTCAAAATAAAATTCATTTTCATATTCTGTTTTTCCGAATCCTTCACTCAAATACGTGTGTCAATGCTTTGAAGTTTGTAAGTTCATTTTTTTGGATCTTGATTAGGCACTCCAAGTACCGATGAAGAGGATTGTTCGAGCCGCAGATTCAGCCTCGGTATGATTCATCAAAACACATGATCTTATTCGATGCGAGTAGATTTGTTTGTCGAAGGGTGTAGGTGCACCGGTCGGTTCGGTCATCGTGGGAAGCCAAAGGTTCATCACTAAAGTAAGTTGGCTTTGAATCAAATTGAGACGGCTAAATAGCAATTATTTTTATTCCTCTTCAACTATTGAATTATTAAAAATGCAGGCAAGGTGGTTAAGGAAAACATTAGGCGGAGGAATGAGACAGATCGGTGTGCTCTGCGGCGCGGCATTGGTGGCTCTACATGAAAACGTCGCCAAGCTTGACGATGACCACAAGAAAGCCAAGATCTTGGCAGGTGACTGTTACCCGGATTTTTTTTTTGTTATTTCTTATCCGGAATATCAAATTTAACGTGAATGTGCTAACCGATTGTTTTTTTGTTTTTGGTTTCCTACATTACCAGAAGGACTGAACCAGATTGAACGGTTAAGAGTGAACGTTGCAGCAGTGGAAACGAACATCGTAAGTGTCCAATAATTTAATCCAAAACCGAACTGGTAACCGGTACTTTAAATTTATTTACTGTTTTTAAATTTGTGTTCTTCATACTATGCTATATCTCTTCGTTGTTTGTTTATCTTTTTCTCTCTAATTTCATATGTATCTTAATCTGTGTTTGATCTTTTTTTGTGTGCTTAGAATACTCCTAGAAAGAAGAATAGTTATAATAATCATCAAAAATCAGGCACGATGATGACACAAACTTGGAAGCCTGTTTTTGGTATGATCAACTCTATTCTCTTTATAAATTTTATCTTTCATCATTTTCTCGAAGGAATGATTAAATACTTCAATTATTCTATCACTTTTTAGTCAGCGAGAGTACCAATTGATGAGGATCGTAAAGTTATTTTAGTTTTTGTATGTTTTAACAGATCTAATCTTTTTGTTGATTCTTCTTTTATTAAACGTGGATGAGTTCTTCTTCTTAATTATTAAGATAATTGTTTCCTGTGTTGGGTAATTATTTACCATTAGGTATTCTATAGTGTGTTTGTATGTACAAAAGTAATATTTTAATCAAATTTTGCTGATTTAATCTTATGTTGGGTTGACTATGTTAGAATCTCATACTGGTTATGATTGTTTCTTCTTTCGTGAGAAGAAATATGTGGCTTTACCTTTCAGAAAGAAACTTGGAACATCTTTAGCGTGCAATTGTTATGATTCTTACTCATTTGTGAGCAAAAAGTTAAGGTTCCATTTTTCAGAAATAAATCTATAACTGAACATATGAAACAATAAAAAGGAAGATCTTGAGTCTATTTCGCATTATCTCCATTTTAGGATTCAATATGTCTCTGTATAGGCAATTGTCGCACTTGGTGGAGGTTTTAAAAGCTATGCTAAATGACTGATTCACGTACAAGATTGAATTCAGACAATCTCTGTTTGGTTCCATCTCTGACGTAACACAAACTCTCTCTTTTACTTATCATCCTTTTTATTCAGCACTTTACTGTTATTGCAGGTTGAATTGCAACGTCGGTGACACCTCCGATAAGGACGAACATGGCTCCAAAGAAATTAGTCATGTGTCCTGCTCTTGCTATTTGATTTTGTGATGAATACTTCACGATTAAGATGATCAATGTTATGTTTTTTTTTCTGGGTTGAACGCTCCAGTTCAATTCACCATCTCCAACGAAACTTTTTGAATTTTAGGTTTTGTTTCAGGAATCAAAATGTGAATGTGTGCTATACTTAAAAAAAAATACAAATGTGAATGTGTGTAGGAATCTGAACGCTTAATTTTCCTAGCTTAATGACTTTCATTTTTTGAATTTATAATAGAGTTTAAAATTGTTGCTTTAACTGTTTTAGGAAAAAAAATTTGATTTAAGATACTCACTGTTTTTGTAAAAATCTGTATGAATCTAGCAGTTGGAAAATATCTGGAAGAAAAATATTGGAAGATATTACATTCGACAGAATCATAATTTTTAATGGGTCGAATGAGTAATTTATATGTGAGTACATTGGTCTAGCCTAAAAATCGTGAAGAGACAAATAACAAAAGAGTTGAAGTTTATAAAGATCTATTTAGTTTTAATATATATCTGATTATACAAAAAAAGAAATTTTATAATTTTTCTATGCTTAGTTTGTTTGTAATGTGTCTATTTATTATTTAATTGATTTTGTTATAGTTATAGTTTAAAAACCTAATTTAGTGATGTGTATTTTTGCCTGAAGAAGAGAAAAATAGGTAGGAGAGAAGAAGAGAAAGAGAGAGAGAGTAAATAATAAAATTTGATGCTCAAAGTATTATTTCAGTCGATTGATCTTGAATAATATGTTAGGTTTTTTTTTTGGAGTCTTCTTGATTGATTAAGTAAGTGGGTTGAAGTTAAGATTTTTATTTTAAGAAGATGAGAGAGAGAGAGAGAAATTGATGGTGGACATAGAGAGAGAGAGAGTAGAAAATAGAGAGAACAGGGAGAGAGAAATAGGTAGGAGAGAACTAAAACGAGAGAAAGAGGAATGGGGAAATAATAAAACATTTCTTCAGGAAATAATAAAGGAAATAATAAGTGTTAAGATAGTAAAAAAAATTAGTTACACTAGATAAATAATTCAGCATTGTTAATTAATTCTTAGTTCTTCAGATTTTTTGTTCTAATCTTTAGAGTACAGGTACGTCATGAGGATATAAATATGAGGAGGGTTGCAATTGTGATTATGATGTTTATATGCAGACCTGATTATAACAAAAAATAAAGTTTATGATTTCTGTTCAGAACTGCTATGTTTTTTTTTCTATGCTTAGTTTACTTGCTATGTGTCTATTTATTGTTTAATTTATTTTGTTATATATATAGCTCATAAGCCTAATTTTGTGTTACGCATTCCAAACCCACCTAATTATAAAACTGAAGCATGTGACCATCGTAAAAGTATTTATGAGTTTATACACAATCTAAAATACAAAACTGAAGCTCATGGTCATCATACACAATCTAAAATACAAAACTGAGACTCGTGGCCATCATGAAACTAAATATAATAAATCCCCCAAACTAAGAAACATAACAGACATCGCCTTTCAAAGATATCCATGGTATGATTGATATCAACAATCAGAGAAACATATGCAAGAATCGTCAGTTTCTTATCTTCGACAATCTCTACACATACACCATGGTCGTTTAGGTAGAGACAGAGAAGATCTACTTCAATACTGTATCTATCTACATATTATTTTATATATGAGACATTTATTTGTAATATTTGTTATATATACTCTTTAAATTTAGCTGTTTCCGTCTCTATAATAGACATCTAATATCCACTAGCTTGCTTTTTAACATGGAGTCTACGCAAAAAGCAAATCCGATTGACCCATCTTCTTTTGGTGTTTCACCTTTGAGCCATGGTTTTGTTGAGACAGCTGTTTTGGTGAAGAAATTACGAGTGTGGACTAATTCGTTTGATCCATATGATGTAAGACTGGAAATAATTTTTTTCTGATAGCAAGGTTCGTGATGTGTTCTTGAATTAGTGAACTCTGGTGTGTAGTTTTGCATGTGTTGTTATTTCATTATTAATTAAATGTTACGATGCAGGGCGTGGAGATTTTTGGTACAGTTCACACTAATGATTACGATCGTTTTTCGCCTCAGTTAAGTGAGGATGTTTGGGTTACAATTAAAAAATTTGTTGCTGTTGATACGGATCACCCATTTAGTGTTACGTCTAATCATGTTCACTTGCTTATCGTTAGTCCAACCATTGTTCGTATGCAAGATTATCAGTCTGAATGAAATTTTTTCAAGTTCGTTGGCTTTGAGAGGATTCTCAGCAAGGTTCCTATCGGTACTTCTTCGATTGGTATGTTCGTATCCGCTTTCTGTAAATTTTGACATTGACATAGTTTATTTTGAATATTGACTGTGTAAATTGTGTGTATTTTAGATTTAATTGGAAAAGTTGTCAATGTTGGAAAGTTGGAAATTTCGACGACGCATTGTGTTCATAAGGGAATTGGTGGATGTGCAATGATAGCATTTGAACTAATGAGTCCCAAGAATGTTGTTGTAACTACAATTGATATAAATTGATTGATTAAGTTAGAGAATGAACTAATTGCCAAAAGTGAAATTTTAAAGTTGTTCAACTCACTCAAGTCTACAAAAGCGACAATTGAAGAGTTCAAATCTTACCTACAACAAAAAGAACAAAAAGTAAATTATGACATTAATTTACAAGACAATTGAAGATCTAGATGTTGTATTTGAATTGATTACGTTTAACAACTAACTAGAGATTGAAAAGGAAATGAGTTGCACTTGAGATGACGAGATAGGTGCTAATCCCAAAGAATATTCAAATATTAAAGTATGGTGCTAAGCTGTTCAGTAAAGCATGAGAGAATGTGTGGAAAATACTAACTAATGCATACTTTTTAAGGTAATTCAGGTTGTACCTTTGTCCTTGATGGATAAGTAGATTTCACCACTTGGGAAAATAACCACATAGTTCTAAATGCTTGAAATAAAAGAAAAAGTGTTTAGATTACATGGAATCTGCAACTTAAGCAAACACACAAGGCTATTATAACATAATTTTACTTAAATAGATTGTATGCACTTGCTTTAGAAAAGTGAGAGACAACTCGATGGAAGGGTACACAATTTGCCAACCAAGAATTACGTTGCCAGTCTTATTTCTGGAGGTTTTTCAGATGGGTGTTGACACACATGTTATTGTTGTTGAAATCATAGACGGTCGTTTAGATCAGTATTGCATCCTACTTACTTGGTGTTGCAGTATCCCCTTTGGTTTCCTTACGGTGAAGACGGTATCAGACTAGGGATTGACATTGGATTTGTTTATATATCTGGGAGAGTGCGTTAAAATATCACTATGCGAGAGTTTTTTGCTTTCCGAATACAATCCAGAGAAGGGGAAGCTACCACTGTTAAGAAAATCTCTTTCTATTTCTTTCCCAAACTGTATTATCTTTCGAGTATATATAATACTTCTGCATTAGTATCTTATTTGTAATTTTATTCTTTGATGGATAATATAGTTACTGCTGGTGATGATAATTTCGACATGGATGCATCTTCAGGGGCCTCATCCATAAATGATGACAATGATGATGATTATGATATGGATCAGGATTTTAAGTATGATGAAGATGTGGATGATGACGAAGATGACGATGATGATTTGGAAGGTCTTGATGAAGAAGTAGTTAGTGGTGGGTGTCCTGATGACTCTGCTGGCGAAAGTTCTGATAGCGATGGTTATACTTCTGATTCTGATATCGACGAAGATACTGATTATGAACCAGACGTCGATACAAAAAAATCAAAAGCTGTTCGTCTTGCTTGCCCTGTAACCCCTATCAAGTCTGAGAGTCGGTTTCTTGAAAATGGTAAAATTCTTCCTGACCCTATTCGCGATGCACCTGTTGAAAATGTTAGGCCTCGATCAGTTGTTTTCCTTTTACATCCTGTAACTTTTGAGTCTTCGATTACAGTAAAGATATTGCGTGTCTGGACACATGCTACACATCCAAACGGTAAAAAAATGGAGGTTATTCTGAGTGACGATATGGTATTGTTCATAACTTTGTAATCTTTATGTTTTTATTGTTATCATATTTATACTAATAAATAGTTGTAATTTGTTGATAGGGTGTTTGGATTGTGGTAGTAGATGAAGTTGGAAAATATCATGCTACCACTCATCTTAGTAGAATATTCTTTCTAGACACAACGATTGTCGATGAACAACGACAAACTTTTTATGCTAGAAATTTTTTTCATTTTGTTGATTTTCGTATGATTTTAGATCGAGTTCAGAGTGACGATTATTTAGTTGGTAAGTTTACTTACATAAATTTTTTTTTTTTTTTTTTGCTTTGGTTATTAATTTGTAAAGTTTTGTTGCAGATTTAATTGGTCGGGTTGTCAATGTTAAAGGATATAACACATGGGGTGGGCATATACCTGATATGAGTATCACTGGTGGAACTGTTACATTCGAGATAGAAAATACAAAGTTAGTTATTACCATTGGTATTTGGTTATTTCTGTATAATTTTTAAACTCTTATTTGATTATAGTTTGTTTCGATTCTAGAAATGTTCGTTTGAAGTGTGAGTTCATTGGTGAGATAGCTGTCGGTTTCTTTAAGGAATGGTTGGACTGTTGTGCTGGTGTCGTTGTCTGTGTTAGAATAGAGATCTTGGACAGCGTCGATTTCTTCAAAGATGTTGGACAAGTTGTTCGTGTTGGACTTCGATTAACCCGTAAAGGCAAGCATATGGGCCGTGGTTTTGTTGAGTTTGCTTCTGCTGACAAAGAAAAGAAGGTGATAGTAGTTTATAGTAACGATGAAAAGTATTTTACAACTACAAGTTATTTAAAAGTAGGAGTGCTGATTCAATCTTTCACACTGTAGGCACTGGAAAAGAAGAATGGTGAATATTTGCACAAGCGCGAGATTTTTCTTGATGTGGCTAATAAGGGAGATCGTTGCCTTCCACCCAAGTAAATCGATTTATGTTATGGAGATTTGTTTATGTAACTTATTGCTAAAAACTTTTATGCAACTACAGAAAGATTAAAGCTATTATTTTTTGTTAATTAGGTATTGCTTAAATTACACGGTTTGGTAAGGGATTTAATTATTTTCCTCTTGAGTTTGGTATCAATAATAGCACATTGGATATACATGGAGAGATGACAAGGGTTTTTGATGTTGCAGGTACGAAGACTATCTTTGACGAGAAAGCCTTGTGGTAGAAGAAGATGCAGCAGAGGAAGGACTTGATGAAACTCCTGAGGTACATCTGCTTATTATCTTCAAAATAAGTCAGGCTCTAAAGAAACGCATAGCTTTTAATGCCACAAAGTCGAAAGATGAATCTACTTTTTGTTGTTATATTCTTAGATTAGTGTAGTATATTCTTAGATTCTTTATTCTGGTTTAAGAATTCTTTTAAGGTGGACTCACTAAACAAGCCCGAGACTACTTTGCTTTCAGGTTGGTTTTTTATTCTACTTTACGTTCTCTTTGTTTACATTGTCCATTCCATTGGATTCTTTAATTATTTAGTTTTCTCTTATCGAACAGAAGGTCTGGTAATCTTCCTAAATTCTTTCTTATTGCTTGAAAATCGGTAAACCTTAATCGAAGTTCTAAATTGTTTAGATATCATACATAGAATTTTGATGAGGGTTTAGATTGCTTATACTTCTGTATAATTATCATACCTAGAGTTTCGATCTCTAGCATTCTAACATCAGCATATTTATATCTATCATAGCCATTTTTTGATGATATTTATGCTCCTCATTCTAGGTGGAGCATGCAAATACTTGTGTACTGTGTGGAAACAACATTTATTTACACAAAAGGAGTACACATGTAATATATAAGCATTGTTTATAATCATATATCTGAATTCCTTGACTTAATTGCTAATGGCCACTTCTTATATCTTGAATTTTTTTACAGTGGCTTAAACATAACACATTTTTCTGTAAACTTAGCGTATTTCTTCTCCTCTTCTCAGTAATTTTAGAACTGAGCTATGTATTTGCACACAGTGTATGCCACAATGGATTACACAAAAAGTTTCCAGAGAATAACATAATTAAATAGAAATATTTTTACATGCTCGACTAACTTAAAATTGTATCATCCTTAGCTATATGGATTATAGATTATGGTGAGTAACTATATTAAAAATATAAATCATTTTATATTATTGTACTAATCATTTACCCGCAAAGAGGAAAGTTAAGCTATAATTGGAAATTAGGTGATTGTAAGTTTGTTACACCATTTAAAGAAGAGGAAAAGAAATATAACTAAATAGAACTACAGCAAAAATAATATCAAGTTATTGATTTTGTTCTGATACAAAGGAATGAATAACCTAAAAAACTAAATTGTTGCAACCAAAAGCAATAAGGGAGCAAATAGCTATCATAGCGCCAGCTTTACTGGTTAAAGAAATGATAAGTTGATCAACATGGAGACTGATCAAGAACAAGAGGGAGAGAGAGGGAGTGGGTGAGAGAGATAAAATGGAGAGAGAGAGGATTTTTTCAAAAACAAAAATGAGAGAGAGTGAGAGAAAAAGGGATATGAAAAGAAAAATAATGAAGAATGAAGAAAAAGAAGAACGGAGAAGAAAATGAAAGAACAGAGAAGAAGAGAGATGAAGGGAGAATGAGAAGAAAAAAAAGAATAGAGAAGACAAAACATAAGAAAAAGTATAGAAAGAGAGAAGAAAAAGAAGAAGTATGGAAAAGAAGAAAGAGAAGAAGAACGAAAAAGAAGGAAAATAGAGGGAGAAGGGGACCGAAGAATAAAAAAAATAACAAAGGAAAGGAAGAAGAACAAAAGAATATAAAGGAGTAAGAGAAGAGGAAAAAAAGAATAAAAGAGAAGAAGAACAAGGGCGAGGGAGAAGAAGAAGAAAAATACACATATAAGTTTAAATTATTATAAACTTAAATTTGTACAATTATTAATATTTGGTTAGCATAAAATATAATAAAACATAGTTTAATTATGAAATTCGAGTTTTATTTGTCAATAATAATTATACTACAATATTTAGGACTAAACTTATATGCTTTTTGTATCAAAAATAAAATGTTTTGGTTTTGAAAATTGATAAAGAAGATGCATTTAATCTTTTAGAAGATGGGCTGAATGAAAATTAATTTACTAAATTTTTTGTTCATTTATAATTTAGATGGTGCTTTTGATCTAAATTAGATGATTGTAATGATATATATGTGCAGTTAAAGAAGAATGAGGAGGAATAGAGAAGGAAAGAATTATGGAAAAGAAGGGAGAGATAAAAGAAGGAAATTGGAGAATAAGAAAAAGAATGAAAAATAAAATATTTCAAAATATCTAGCGTTTTTTGTTATTTGAATATTTCCTTTAAGATGAACAATAAATCTTAAATAAGTTATTAATAGATTTTTGGCTTGCAGTATATACAAACCCTAGAGAAAGATGCAACTAGAGCTTGCAGTATTTTAGAAAGATTTTTAGTCTTCGTGTGTTTTTTTTGTATTGGTTTATGGTTTTTAAACTTTTGTAGTCTCGACACAAGATCAGCTAATTTATCGATCTGTTTCTGCGAACCAGAGCCGGTTGCAACAGTGGTGCCTAAAATCTCCTTAACCGAGCTGATCAACGATATGCAAAATGAGGAGCAGGACGTGACTGTGGAGAGAGACGTATGAGCTTTAAAAAGGCACAAGTGACGATTAAGGTTTCTTCTGTAGCAGCAAGGGACAATGATGATGTGGTAATGAGGGGGTTTAGGAGAAAGCAAAATAATAATCATGCAGCAACAATCTATTTTAAACGTGTATGTGGTTTATATAAAATGATTTAAAGAGCTTTTCTTAAGTCAGCTTATCTTTTTAAAATATCAATTATTTTGTTCTTTTCATTAAATTTATATATGCAATTTCTTTACATTGTTAAAAACAGTGACATGTCTTTGTCTTCATCCTTTTCGTGATAGGTAATATTGCTATATACAAGATAAATCCTTATATTAGTTATCATAACTTTAATCATATTGTGGATCTAAATGTATGTAACGATATGACAAAAAAGTTTTGACAATGAAATGTGATTCGAGAGATCAATAAACTTTATCATCTAATGCAAGTCTTATGAAAGAGATTACGATTACTCCGTATACATTTTGAAAATGTTATTAGTCTTGCATGTTACATATTAATATAACTTGCTCGAATATATGTTTTGTTTTCTGATATCAAAACTTTTATGTATATTTTTAACTGAATGCTATTTTACAATATGGTTTTATAAATATTTTTTTTACTTTTTAAATTTATGTCAAGCAATTTCAATAAATAGAAAAATATATCATGTTGGCCCGCGCAACAACTAGTTTCTACCTATTACAGTAGTACAGTAGTAAAAAAGAAAAAGAAGAGAAAACTGGCGAAGAGACAAATTATATTCTCATGACAGAATGTTTCTTTTAGTTCTTAGATGCGGAGATTCTCTGCTTTGACGACTATGCTGTACGATACATATATTAACAGTTCATGCTAGGAAAACCTTTGTTCCTATAGTCCGAACAATTTCTACTTAACAAGCAATGTTATTACATGTGACCTGACTTTTTACCTTTCACAACAAAAAGTCTAAACTCTGCCACCATGTATTCAATCTGTTACTGTCACGTGTCTTCAAAATGATGATCCGTCTCATCGAATATCTCTTCCTGCAGCCACAATTCACAAAATAAGAGTTTAAAAACAAAAGAACAACAGCAAAATGTTATGAGACTCGAAAGAGTAAAAGTTTTTATGTTTGGTTTTCTATACTTGGAGAAGTTCTTCAATGACATCTTCCATTGTAATGATACCAACAGCTTCTTCTTCCTCGGTTAGCTTCGGCAGAGGATGTTCGTTGAATCGCAGAATGTCGGCATCATTATCCTTAGACCATCTCTTGCTCCTTGACCCTCCTTTAAACGAATTCGCTCTGTTCGGAAAGCTTTTCCATTTCTGGAGTGATCTCCTTCTCTTCAACTTCTTTTCCTGTGGGGATCTCTCATTATCCACATCTACTCTGACTTCGATTACAGTCTCTATTAAAACAACAGAGGAAGTTATTAGTCTGTTTTATAAATTCTCCATCTCATGTTTACTCCTACAAATTAAAAAGACTAATTACCATTAGCAGCATCATTACTAGGTAATGGATGGATTTTGTCGCATTGCCTCACAACAACAGCCATGTGGCTGTGTCCTTTCTGGAACTCGTTCAATATATCATATAACGGTAAGGTTTCTTGAACTCTAGAAAAGAAAAAAAACAACAAAAGAAGTACATTCAACGAATCTTGAATTGTTTAGAGGTAGAATACATACTCATAATTGGTAATATATGTAAATACCTTGGGATTCTTCGTATGGTCACATTCTTGACCTGTATTTCTTCATCTGGGTTGATGGTTAATAAGTTCTTCACCTGAAGATAGAGTTATGAGCCATCACTAAGATACTTCAACTGCTTGGAGATAATTTTAATGTATCATGGAGCTAGAAATTTACCAAAACAAGTCCGATTATGTTGGTACGTTGCTCGTAGTATACTGGGACTCTGCTATGACCTTTCTCAAGAATCAGATTCATCAAATCCCTGGTGAAGGACAAAGAAACTAAGTTTAAGCAATGACTTAAGAGAATAAACGTATACGCGCAGGGAGTGTTAAAAACAAGGCTAAGACCTGTCTAGTTTCGCGTTGATATCAATCACAAAAGTCTCAGAGATTGGTGTCATTGCATCTTTAGCCATTTTCCCAGAGAGTTCAAGAGCTCCAGCAATGATTGTTGTCTCATCATGTGTCAACTCTCCACCTTTACCAGCCTGAAAGAAACGAGATGATTCGTTATTAGGCTATGAACAGAACATAAAAAAAAAGTATAAAATAGAAGCTTGTCATCAGAGTAATCAAAGACATGCCTCGTTCCCATGCAAATCCACAAGCGTTTTCAGCTCCGCTCTACGGAAAAGTGCTACACGACCATGACCAAGTAGAAAGTCCAGCAGCTGGAAAGTATACAAATGCGGCAAAATATTTTTATCGGAACAAAGACACAATAGGTGCTAAACACTCGCTCTTTGGACACTTCATACGCGCAATACAAGAGATTCCGCAGTGTGTTTAAGTACCTTACTAATAGGCCATGCAACAGGAAAGCAGATCCAGACTAGAACACGGACAAATGGTGCAACTGTTGCGCCAATCGCTAAACCATGACGGGAACAAACTGACTGAGGTATGATCTGTAGTTGGAATCAAATAGCTTCATCATACACGTACACATGAAACTACTAACTTAGTGGCCACACTCTTGAGGGCAAAATAATAGCATGAAGTAAAACCAAATCTTACCTCACCAAAGAGAAGAATCAATGTCACTGAAATCAGAATAGCACCCCAAGCCGTCACAAGAGCATCAAGGAAAATAGGAAGCGTCTGAAATAAACAGAGTAATCACTAAGATGAAGACAACATTTCAAGAACATTGTAATTACATTGGCCAAAGATCAAGTCCCTAATAATACCTCCATAGCAGCTGCATTGCATATCAGTAAAGTACAAAGCAACAGATGCTGTTTTTTCACAACTGGTAATATCTTTGCTGCATCAATAAAAATACCACTTGTGATCACTAAGAGAAGCAAAGTAACAGATACAATCTCCCAGAAAATGCATCAATACACTCAAGTTGACAATGCAATCATGAAGCAAGTCCTAATTTAAATCCCAAGATTTGGTTTAGAGAAGTTCACATAGCTAATCTTCAGTACTAAAACCACACACTAGAATTTAATATTCCCAGAAAAATGCATCAATACATTCAAATTTAAAATACAATCATGAAGCAAGTCCTAAATTAAATCCCAAGTTTTGGTTTACAGAAGTTTACAAATGCTAATCTTCAGTACTAAATCGACACACTAGAGTTTGATATTCCCAGAAAATGCATCAACACATTCAAATTTACAATGCAATCATGAAGTTAGTCCTAATTAAATCCCACGTTTTGGTTTAGAGAGGTTCACAAAGCTAATCTTCAGTACTAAATCCACACGCTACAATTTAATATTCCTGGAAATCAAAAATCTGTACCTTAAATTACGAAGTTAATTAACACATAATTGATCAAAGTACTCAGAGAATCGAATCACAGAGAGATTCTCGTGACGTCTACCAACCAAAACACATGCGAGAGAGATTTCATTTTAAGAATTTAAAAATTAAAGCCACTTTCTAAGCAAAATAAAAAAATCCTTAGGTTCGTGAAAAGCTTCAAAATCAGCAGAGAATACAAAATTACCAGCATGTTTGCGATCTCTGGAAGTACCGGATTTCGCAAGAACCTCAAGATCAACGAGACTCATGGACATAAGACCCAAGGTAAGACCAGACATTAGCCCAGCGAACAATACTAGCAACACTATAACGACGATGTGTATGAAGAAGTTCGTCTCGCAGCATTCATACTCCACCGCCATCTTTATAAAAGTAAAATCGGAACCCTAATCTTACGTCAGAGCTTCGGTATCAACGAAACCATCACGTACGGACAAAATCGACCGTTTCGAAGCGTAAAGAAATCAAATGAAGACGATGAGCTACGAAACGTTTTTTGATGAGCAGAGAGAATTTTTGAAGAGCTTTGTGATTTGTGACACAAGAAACACGAACGAAAACGAGATTCTCAGAGAGATCCGACTAATTAGTGGAGACGAAAAGTTGAGAACTAACACTAAATAGAGAAACTTTGGAGATGGAGATGGTTTTTTTTGTTGTAACGGTGATGTTTGGGTAAAAAAGACTACAGTGCCCCTTTGATGCTAGACATTTGACGGAGTCCATCATGCTGAGTGATGTTAATTGTTATCAATCAATGATTTAGTAGGTGGAGATTGATATCGGATTCGAATATTATGGTACAATGTGCAAAGGTTGTAATGTGATTTAAATAACTAGGCATGTGAGCTATAAAATATGTATGTATTTTGAGTAAACGTTTGTATTTTTTTTTCCATGGAAAATGCAATTTTCACGATTATATGAGTTATTCATGTAGAAGCCTAGTGCACATAATTATTGGTGTAGGAACTGATTCAAGACCATTGTTACGTGAAGCTAATCATATTCACGTGTTAATTGAAGGGCGACACCATAAGAACACACATCAAAAACAAAATGATACATGATTGATAACAGGTTATCAAAACTCCAGCAACACACAGTTATAGTATAGCAAAAGGTATCAATCCAATCTTAGGGAGCAGGAAGAACAATGAGAATGCAAGAGTAAGGTAAATCTAAGCAAAACGGATAAATAGTTGGTAAAATCTAGGAAAACTAAATGCAACAATCTAATGCAATGCAAAACAATTTTAAAATCTCTGAAAAAGGGTTAACTACCACGAGGAACAAGCAAAAGATGAAAAATACAAAGCTATTAAAAACTAAAAATCGACCAGTGAATCGACCACACGATCGAGCACTGGATCAAGCAGAATAGATCGATCTAACAAGCGAATGATTAACAGAGGTTTAAAATACTGAAAGAGAGGATTTAGGGTCGATGGTCATATTCAAGGGTATCAAAGATTCAAGCTTTGGTTTGAAAACATTTAGATCTACTATTTTAAGAGGTTTCTCTAAGCCTTGAAAATAAAACAAGAACCATTCATGGCGTGCGGTATAGTTCACTTCCTCAATCTCTTCTCCAAACCCATGGCGTTTGGTGGAAAAAGAGATCGAAGAGCAAGGAGAACAGATTTCAAACAATGACCTAACTAACCCCCTAAACAACCATGGCGTATGGGAAAGGAAGGATTAGCCTCTAGGATATGGTTTTCCAGAACATCTGAATCCTGTCAAGGTAAGACAGCCTTTGGTTCATAGAGACCTTTTCCAAGGCTCTCTAGGCTTTAAGATCCCAAGATCCTAGAAGAGAAGGTATGAAGAACAAGAAAACACAAAGCTTTGAACCCTTTCAACCTTTTTGAATCACCTCAACCCCAAAAACCCAAGAAGACTACTCACTACACATGTTTAAGATCGAATCAAAAGCAACAAATGATAAGCTAAGAATGATTAACGAAAGATTAAAGAAAAACTTGCTTGATATTAAAAGATTCAAAGGTTCAAAATCGAAAAAGCTTAAGCTGTTCTACAATGGCGACTCGCCTAATTTAGAGAGAAAAAGGAAAAGACAGAATGAAGATAGGATAAAGGTGATGGTCGCTTTTGCCAAAAAAATGGCTAAACTGTTAGCTGGTCCCCCCCCCCCCCCTTGCTAGCCGCCAAAGACAGCTGGACGGATAAGGTTTGTCTGGGATCGACTCGCGTCACTCGATCTCTGGCTCGATCTTCGTCTTGGATCAGATGGCTTTGGTAGATCCTTGAGTCGATCCTGTGATGATCGGGTTAGAAGCTCGATCTGGTTCTCGATCTGCATGGCGTCATTCACGTCCATACTCCAGATCGATCTCCTCTCTCGATCTTGGTCTCGATCCTTTCCTATGCATCGACTTGGGTCATTCAATCTTCTGGTCGATCTCATCTATATCGACCTGCCTTGCTCGATCTCTTACTCGATCTCGGGTCCTTGGCATGCACAGCTGAGTTCTCCAATTGTCCACGAGCTTCCTCACGAGCCTTAGCATGTCCATGAATCCTCCACAGCTCCAAAGTGTCCAAAAAAAACCTGAATATGATGCATAATGCAAGAAACATGCGAATGTTAATGAAAAAGTGCTCTAGGACCTAAAATGGTGCAAACTAGCCTATAATGCAAGATGAATGCATGAGAAACTATCCTAAATGCATGCAAAATATGCAAAATATATAGTAATATCAACTCTCCCAAACTTGCCTTTTGCTTGCCCTCAGGCAAACAAAATTCAAGAAAGGAGAAGAGGTTTTAAAAATGGGGGTTTAAGCTTCTTGCAAAAGTGTTTTTCAAATGAATCAATTCAATGGTCCTAGTTCTTAGTCCTAAAATGCAATGCACACACTCATACTCCAAAGAACTTAGTCATACTCATCACATAATTAATTTCAAATCATGACTCTCATATCCTAAACAATCCAAGAATCCTATCCTTTAACATTCATTAAGATCAAAACCGTGAATCACACTTATGCATTTTAAAGCCGAACACATTTGGTTAAGGATAAAGGCTATGAGACTAGAATGATCTCATTTAAATGGGTTCTATAATGCAACGGTTTCTCTCAAAAAGGTATGAACTTATGCATAATGCTAAAGGTAAAGGCAATTGATGCATACATGACTAGACTCTCATCTACCCATATACACTAACAATGATCCTAAAACCCCTCTCATTTCTTTTCTTTTCAATTCACTCACCTTTCTAGAGACTACCCTCATCATCAAAGCAATTCGCTTAGCAAAAACCCAAATAAAAGCATCATCTTAAACTCTTGTGGCTAGTGGAAAGGCTGAAAACACATTTAGCTCTTTTTCTTTTCTTTTTGATAGCTCTCTACTTATTTTTTTTTTCTTTTTAAACATTTGGCTCTTTGGCTCTTTTCTTTTCTTTTTCTTTTCTTTTTGAGAGCTACCTTCTTGGTTAGACTTAGAGCTTTCATTTTAAAACAAGCCTTCCACTTAAAACCTTTTCATTCACTTTAAACACCAAACTCTTTTGAAACCGAAAAATAAGTAAGCAAAATAAGCAACCCCCATGAACCCCAAACCTAACCTAAGCCTAAAACTAGCTTCAAAATGCAAAGCTAGCAATCAAATGAGAGCCTAATCATGTCGCCTAAACGTAACACGTTATGCCAAGTTCAAACCGGGAAGAGGCCTCACAAAGATATCACACAAGAGAATTTGGCTTGAAAGAAGGGTAAGGGTCATGGTGGGAGTTATACTTAGGCTCACAAAAGAGTGGTGAAAAGAGGAAGAGAACCTAGATATGTATATGATCCATGCGTTCATTTTCAAATGCATAAGTATGACAATTAAAGATCAGATTAAGGTTCTCACTTATTAGGACAAGATTCAATGCATGAATGTTCAAGTTAAGCCACGAAAATCAAAACACATGATCCAAGTATGGTTAGAGCTTACTTTCAAAGAGTGTACAATGCATCAAAGAACTACTAACTAGGGCTTTGAAACAATTCATGAGCTTAAAACACTTTTCAAGAAAAACTTTTACCCCTTATGCAAATGTAAACAACCTAAATGCTTAAAAATTCTAGACTCAATCCTAAAATATTTAACAAAGTGAATGCAACTACATGAATGTTTTTGAAAAATTTTAAAATTTTTACCAATTTGTTTTGTTCTTTTCTATGCCTTAGGATGCATGCAAGACTCAAATGATGATAACAGAAAATAAGAAGAAAGCAAACATGTCAAACACACCACACACTCCCCCAATCTTGAATGACACCGTCTCGGTGGCAAACAAATCCAAGAGAGTTCAAAACACAAAGCAAAAACAAAGAAAACATGTGTGGTATATACAAGGGATGGTTGTTAGTACCTTGGAGCTAAGAAGTACTGGAGCTTGAGGTTGCTCCAGACCTCTTGCTCTTTGTGGGGATCTTGTGAGCTACTCCCTTGCCCTTATCCAAGCTAGCTTGCTCATGAACCGAGTGGCGCGCAGGTTGGATCGTTGTTTGGGGCTCACGGATCTCAATGCCTCCCGTGGATCTCCTTCTCTTCTCGGGCTGCTCGACCTCTTCGCTTGAAGGTGAACCAGGTGAGTTCTTCTTAAGCTTCTTGATCTTTTGAGCAAGCTTCTTGATCATCTTGCTCTGCCACTTGTTCACCTTTCTTTGCATTTCCACAACAGAAGCAAGAAACTTCTCTGCCTTCGTTCTCGGCTCAAAGTCAAGCTTTGGAAGGGTGAAGCTCTCGGGCATATCAGCATCTGACGTGGGGGACTCTGACCATGGGCAAGCAGCTAGTGCTGGAGCAGCTGTTCCTCCTAGAGGTGCAAAGCAATCCTCTACACTCGGCAAGAACTCTACATTTCCAACTCCTTGCAGCTCGGTTTCCTCCTTATTTGGTAAGATGAAAACTCGCTTCTCATTCTCACAGTCAATGAACAAGTAGGCGTAGAAACCCTCGGCTGGCGTGCGTCCCAAGCTGTCCGTGTTCCTGATGTAGATCTCATCCATGAAAGCTCTCTCCGGAACAGGTATAAAGTCAACAAGTGGCACTCCGGCTTGCACAAACATAGGCGTGATGAAGCCTCCAATCAAAGCTTAACTTGCCTTGCATCACAAGGCATACGCCTTGTACTTCACCAAGGAGGCGGCTAAGATGCACCCATAGTTCACGTCGTCGCCGAGCTCATCCTCCATTGGCTCGTCATTCTCCTTAGGATCACAAAGCTGATGCTTAACGCCTTGGAATAGGAAGCACAGCTCGGTCTTGGTGACTGTGGGAGCTACGGACCGTGCACTGAAGGTGTTAGCAATCAGCTTGAGCGTGTATCTTAGCACCAGGCTCCTCACTCTCTTGATCTTCGCCGTGTAATCATCATTGCTTATGAGGTCCCACAGGTCGTTAGCTTGAGTGAAAGAGGGGAACTCAACTTGTTTAGCATCATCCTTCAAACCGTAGGCTTGGCAAAGCTCCTGGATCGAGAGATGATAAGCTTGACGCCTGATCTTGAAGCTGATGTGGCCTCGGGAAGGAGTAGGAATACTTGGATTCTCGTACGTGAACTCCAAGGTGGCAAGGAAATCGATTGTTGCCTCGGGATAGGTTGGGCAGTCCATCCTTGACAAGCACCAGAGTCCAATATTCTTCAAAAGCTGATCAAAGTCTCCCAGGATCCCCATCTTAGCCAACAGACCTCTATCTGCGAACTTAGTGGGATCGAACCTCAGCCTCTCTAGCCTCTTCTTGGCTTGTTTCTCTT